GGTGAAGGGAGGCGGACGAGGCGGCTTTCAAGGCTGCCATGGCGGAGGCCGTGGCCCTCTCCGCGGCGGGCGACTGCGTTGTGCCGCCGATGGCCCCGCCGTCCCCGCCCAAAGCCGAGCCGAAGGAGCCGGCCTACATCGAGCGCTACTCTTGGACCGGAGTAGTCCGCAAGTGGGTCAGTGCTTCGCCGATCTGGCTCGGGGCGACGGAGAAGCAGGAGGCGGCCTACCTCGACCACTGGCGCCGCGTTTGGCTTGCCAAGGACCGCTGGGAGGGCCAGCGACTGCAGATGCTCGAGCGCGAGGCCGAAGAGGAGGCGCGCCAGGCCCAGGCAGCGGCGGCGCAGGCAGCGGCGGCAAAGCCCGACATCACCGCCGTGTGGAACACGACGTTCCCCTGGGCCGGCCCTGCGCCGACGCTGATCGACCTCACCGGTCCCGACGCAGACGCCGTCGAGAACGCCTAGGGCAGCGCGTCGTCTAGTTTTTAGTATTTTAATTAATGTAATGTGGACTTTCACCGGCCTTCGTGGCCGGCTTTTATGTTTAATTAAATGCATGTATTTATTTTCAAAATGCTTGCAATACTTTTTTTGGCGCGCCGATGAAATGGGCCAGGCCAGCGTTGGGCGCTCACGCCGATCCAAATACAGCGCCGGACGTTTGTGTCCGCCGGGCCGACCCAAATGAACCGACCCAAACGAATAAAAAGCAGACAAAAGCGCCGTCTGTTTGGGTCGGCCCGTTGGAGTTGCTCTAAGAAGGCCGTTAGCGCGAACTGGCAGCCTTTCCCGGGCCTCTCGTTCCGGGCCGCGCATATTCCGGCCACCCAAAACCACTCCACCGTGCTCCGGTTTCTGGAAGGCGCTCACAATCTTTGCCCCCTCCTGCTCCCGAGCGACACTCCCATCTATATCTGGCCATGGGCCGGGCCGGGCCGGGCTTTGGCCCAGGCCCCATCAAGCCCTAGGTCTGTTTCCCAGGCCCAGCCCCTCCCAGGCCCACAAGAATACTACGTTCCCCAGGCCCAGGCCCTCCCAACACAGAAAGCCTGAAAGCCCTAAGCCCTCCCAAAGGCCCTCAACGTTGTAACATCAAAACATCACATCAAATAGCACCAAAACAGCAAATAGTATCTTATAAAGTGTTAAAGACAAGAACATCACCAAAATAGCAGCACATCAGCACCAAAAGTGCATAAAGAGCAGCACAGCAGCACCAAAACAGCAACACATCAGCACCAAAAACAGCACTAAAGAGCATTGTTTTCACATCAAATGGTATCAAATATTCCAGTTTCGAGTTTCTAGAAACACAAGTACATAAATGTATTATTACATGCCAGATGGCCAATTCATAGAACCAAAAATAAGGACCAGTAGCTGCTGGTTGCCATCTCGATATGCCTTCTCCGAATCTTCTACTCATCTCAGTGCTTTAGCAAGAACTCTACAAAATGCAATAAACATCAGGTTAGCTAAAGTACATGTTGAACTTGACAAGTTGACATGAACAAAGAATATGGATGTTACATTCATCATCGGAAGAAGAATTTTCATCATCTAGCTCAACCACTTCTGCCTTTCTCTTATTACCTACAACAACTACAACAACATGTTAGCTATAAACTCTAAAGTACATAGCATGAAGAAATAAACAAAGTAAGTTAAACTATATACCATCTTTCTTCTCCAATTTGCAGCGATACTAATCTTGCAAACACATCAAGGCCTCAACCGTCTTTGGTTTAAGTGAGGCTCGGCTCGGGGTTATAACCTTCTTACTCAAGCTGAAAGCAGATTCTGATGCAACACTTGACACGGGAACAGCAAGGATATCACGTGCCAATCTTGCTAGCTGCGGATACCTAGCTACAGACTTGCTCCAGTAATCCAAGATATAAATGTTCTCATTCAACCTCTTGGTAGGTTCAGCCAAGTACAATTCCAATTCAGATTTCTCTTCAACTGTGCTCATGCTTTCCACATACTGATCATAGTCAGAAAAGGCACCAAGTCCACAAGTGCTTGACATACTAGTTTTGGGTAAGTTGTCATGAACAGGTACAACACTACCATATTCATTAAATAAAGAAGTCAAGGTACTTCTAACATCAGCAAGACGACGTTTGGCATCATTCTCTTCATACAGCTTGGAGTAGGAATAAGCCAAGAACTTGAACTTAATACGGGGATCAAGAACAACAGCACAAGATAGAAATACGCTATAGTCAGACCAATATTTCATGAACTTTTCTCTCATAGCAAACAACATTGGACCCATGTAGCTATTTATACCAGCGGTAGCCTCAATAATAGCAGTATGGACTAGATAAACATTCATGAAGTACAAGTTGGCTGTTGGATATTTTGTTCCTGAGAAAACAGTAGTTACCTTGAAGAAAACCTCCAAAAACTGATACATATGAGATACCTTGGACCATTCTTCCTCACTTGGCCAAAAATGCACCTTGAAGATGCTATCCCTCTCAGAATACCACTGCAACACTTTTTTTAAGTACAAACAGGAGCCAAGCATAGTATATGTTAAATTCCAACGAATGGGCATGTCAGGTTTCAACTTCTTTGATTCTTCTAAGTTGAAAGTAGTTGTAGCAGTGCTATAAAGCTTGTGCAGCCTATTACTTGAAGCCTTTAGATACATTATACCATCCCTAAGTTTGGCCACAGCACCATCAATCAATGTCAAACCAGATTGAACTACCAAATTCAGTATGTGTGCACAACAACGAATTTGAAAGAATTTGCCGGACAAAGGTAAAGCACCTTGAGACAAGTGGGTTCGCAAGCAAACAATCATTCAATCATTATAGGCTGCATTATCAAGAGTGATGCACATTACTTTCTTCTCAATCCTCCATTCACGAAAAGCTAGATGGACCTCATCGGCAATAGATGCTCCATCATATGGTGGATCAATTTTTTTGAACCAGACAATTCTTTTGTTTAGTTTCCAATCAGCATCTATGTAATGACAGGTAATGCAAATATAGCTATGCTTGGTGACTTCAGATTTCCAATTGTCAGATGTGAAACTTACTCTACCAGGGGCAGCAACAATAATTTCAAGCAATTCTTTTTTCTGGGAAAGAAACATTGCCATTATCTCTCTTTTTATTGTGTGCCGACCAATACTCTTGAATGCTGGACAACAAGCAGTCATCATTGTTCTAAAACCATCTTCTTCAACTGTTGTAAATGGATGAGAACCGGACACAAGATAAATAGAGACTCCATGTCTAGCTACTTGAGCATCATATTTAACATTTCTCAATGCATTTTTTCCATCATCATTTGTTTCAGATTTCAAGAAAAAATTATTCATTGTTGATTGATCAGTCTTATGCAGCGATTCGGTGTGCCTAAGGAGATGAGATGTACCGTGTCCAGATTTAGCTGACAGCTCAGCGGAGCAATGGTTGCACTTAGCTACAATAAAGGCATCACCATCTTTGGATATCTTAGTGAAGTCCAACCATACTTTTGACTTCACTCTGCTACTGCTAGAGGAGGCAGTGTGCTGCTGTTGTGCTTTGGTTGTAGGCTGCTGCTGTGCTTCGGCTGTAGGCTGCTGCTGTGGTGTCGATTGTCCACTTCCTGAACGTGCACTAGATGCTGGCCTCTCCCCCCTTTTACTTGCAACTTTCTGCCGTACACGAGGAGGATTTGGAGGTACAATAAACAGCTCCATCTCACCCTCATGCCCTTCTAATTCTTCAGGATGATAGTCTGGTTCATCACCCTCATGCCCCTCCATGCTAAATCTATATCAACAGCAAGAAATATATAAGTCAACAGCAAGAAATATATATGTCAATAGCAGCAAGAAATCTATATCAACACACACTTATAGCCACTGTTTCATCAATCATCTACACACACCTTTATTCATGTACAACAACGAGTTCATCTACAGTTCTACACACACTTATATTCATGTACAACAGCAACAAATCTGCATCAAATCCATCGTGTTGAAATGTATGTACACCTGCTAATCGGTTAAGAACGGAAAAAAAATCCGCATCAAATTACCTTAAGAGCAGAGGTGCGGCGGCGCTCGGACGACAGCTGAGCTAGTTGATGCGGTGGATGTCAACCAGGGGATGCAGAGCTCGTTGCTGCGGTGGATGTCTTGGATGCGGCACCGTTGGGGAGGAGAGGCAGCCGGGCGGCAGCGCGGTTGAGGAGGAGAGGAAGTCGGGCGGCGTCGCGGTTGGGGAGGAGAGGAAGCTTGCCGGCGTCGCGGTTGGGGAGGAGAGGAGGCCTGCCGGCGGCGGTGCGGTTGGGGAGGAGAGGCAGCCTGCCGGCGGCGGTGCGGGACGGGGACGCAGCACTGCAGGGCGGCTAGGGTAGGTCGCCGCCGCCAGCATGGGATACATGCAGAGGAGGGGGACTGGGGGAAGGACGTGCGGCGTGCGAGACTGCGAGTGGATAAGTTAGGGTTCGATGCGTGGAGGAGTGGAGGTGGACTGGTGGACTGCTGGGCTGCTGGCTGCTGTTGTTGGAAGGGCCGGATGGGCCTAATTGTGGTCTAATATTGAAGCCCAGGCCCGGCCCCAATAACTGCTAGGGCTTACTTTTCAGGCCCAGGCCCGGCCCACTGATCAAGCCCAGCCCTCCCAGGCCCCGTTTTTTAGGGTCGGGCCGGGCCGGGCCGGGCCGAAGATGGCCAGATATACTCCCATCCCATCCCGTAGGAATCAATTCAGCCGTCAGCGTGTGGCCGACGCAGACCTCTCCTCCTCTTCTCCCTCAGCCCATCCACGCACGAGGATCCTCTACCGTTCGGCAGCCTGCCGTTCTACCACTGACATGTGGGCCTGTGGGAAACCTGGCCCACATGTCAGCGGCCCAACGTCACCTAGCGCACGGCAGAGGAGCCGTGTCCCCCATCCACCCCACTCTCCCCCACCCCACCCCACCCACAGCCTCACTCGCAGCGCCCCTACCACGCGCAGCGCGCAGAGCTAGATCGAGATGGCGACGGAGCTGACGGCGGCGCAGCTGCGGGCGTACGACGGCACCGACGCGTCCAAGCCGATCTACGTCGCCATCCGCGGCAAGGTCTTCGACGTCTCGGCCGGGCGCGGCTTCTACGGGCCCGGCGGCGACTACGCGCTCTTCGCCGGCCGCGAGGCCGCCCGCGCGCTCGCCAAGATGTCCAAGGACGCCGCCGACGTCTCCGGCGACCTCTCCGGCCTCTCCGACAAGGAGCTCGGCGTGCTCGCCGACTGGGAGTCCAAGTTCCAGGCCAAGTACCCCGTCGTCGCCCGCCTCGCCGCCTGATGTCAATGAAGTCAATTCCGCCACCGTCACCGTCCTCAACTAGTATCGTATCCTCCTAGCTCCACCGTGTGTGTCTGTATCCTGTTGCTCCCTGCGTATGACCGTCAAATAATAATAATTTGAGGGCGTGTTTGTTGGCGACAATTGGTGAACTGAAATAATAGTACTGTGGTCTGTTGTTAAGATCAATGGAGCAATTGATGATTGATCCTTATAATTTTCACATTGTTTCAGCTTTGACTTGTTGTTCTAAGGCTTGATTTAGCTGGAGTATGGCTCTGTATGAAGCAGTGCGCTGAATGTGCAGCCTTCCGTATAAATTCAGTGCTGCGGGTTTACATAGGCTCATTTTCATTGTATTTTGGCTTGGCAGTGGTAGTCAACATAGCCACTTCAAATAGTTTCCTAGCCGGTGATTTTGGGGAAACCAAAGTTTTCTCCAGTTTATTGTGGCAGTCTGGATGTATGCTGACGTTAATATAGTACTCACTCTATAAAGAAATATAAGAGCGTTTAGATCACTAGGGAGTAGTTTCTAGTGGAAAGTTAGAATTTGCTGGTTTAGAAGTCTTCTGTTTTTTGGATTTAGAACAGTCCACTAGTGGATGAACATGAACTTCCATTCAGGCTATAGCTTACTCTTTCTGAAAGGTTTAGCAAGTCTTGTCTGTTTTTTTCCATTTAGAACAGTCCACTGGTGGATGAACATGAACTTCCATTCTGGTTATAGATTACTGTTTCTGAAGGCGTCTCGAGGGGCGAAACCGCTTAGCGCAGCCAGTCTGTCTGTGTTTCCTTCTCTGCGAACTGTGCTTCCAATGGAAGATAGGAAGGATTTCCTCTCTTGTGTAAGAAACAGGGGCAAATGAATTTAGATTGTAGAAGATGCTGAATCATGTGAACGTCTGGAAACAGTTTAGAAGGCTGGCAGTCGGGGCAGCTTTAGAGTGTACTAACTGTTCCAGTATTCTTTGGGCTGAGATGGGAAAATAGATAGGAGTACTTTGTTAGTTGGAATGCTGGACTGCTGCCAATGTTTTTTTTTCTTGCGAACACGCAAACCTTGCGTATGTTTTCACTGATAGAAGAAAAGAGAATGAGTACAGCTAAGGACACAACACATGACACAAACGCAAGAAGGCGTGACATGGTGCCCAGAGCAGAGAGATAGGGGATGCTCGGGCCAAACAGATGATACAACACAACTAAACCAACCACGCCCCCAAACTAGAGAGGCATGCCGAAACCAACAAGACAGTCCAACATCACCAAAGCCATCCAAGGGGATGTCGTGAGTGAGCAAAATGACGCCTTTACGAAGGAGAACCACATCATGAAGTTAGGTTTAGATGCAAAATGCATCGGCTGTTCCTAATATACCTTTTGAAATTAGTTTTACACCTCAAGTTCTTTGTTCGACAATTTTTACACTGCTTTTACTACACAGGCCGCGTAAGTGAAAGGAAGCATCTTGTTTGTCACTACATTGTACCTTCTCTGTGCAACTTTGAGTCAACTTGTTCACGAAGAATCATCATCATTATCATGGTGCTCGACATATTACTATACTTGGAGCCTATTTGATATTCAAAGGATTTTCATAGGTACCTTGGAGGATTTTAACCATTAGGAATTTCCTTACTAGGATTGTATGGCAGGATGTATCATATAAGAATATTTCGAGTTAAATGCATCATTCATACATTAACTTGTCCCCAGTGCTCACTTTAGTACATCATCTCGCAAACGCAACAATTCACTTCCTAAACTCGTCTCATGCGCTCAGTTTGCAACAACCCCCTTGTTGGCTTGGCATTTTTCTCGTGTGTCTAGTGTGGCGTTGTCAATGCGCGAGATGTCTCCCTGCCATGTGGGCCCACATGTTAGTGGGCATAAGAGATAAATAAAGGAAAATAAAGCACTGCATTGGTGGGGCCCTCGAGCGCCGCCTTGCATTGATTCCTTCACCTAAAATTCTGACAATTCCCGTTAAAAAATCAGAAAAAATTCAGGTCATTCCGGCTCCGTGAATTTTTCACCTAAAAACCCCAAAACAATAGAAAACGGGAACAGGCTTTTGGCACCGAGTTAATAGGTTAGTCAAAATAAAAATAATATAAATTGTTGCGAAAAATATATAGAAGTGATATGATAATAGCATGAAACGATAAAAAATTATAGATATGTCGGAGACGTATCATGTAATATGCCACACATAAAAGACTGTTCCTGACGCTTTGAAGTTGTGCCTATTTCCTTTCCTTTGAGAGAAAAATCTAAAGAATGACTTCTAGCTTTGGCTAGAGTAACATAACGTCATGGACTGATTGATGCAGTACATTTTTATCTAAGTTTCATCCCCTGCTAAGATTATGCAATTGTGTTCACAGATAATAAATTTTAAGCAGGAAGAACACGAGCCACTAACGATTGCATGAGATCACATGAAGGAAGCTATAAGAAATTGTTCCAATCAAGGACTAAAACCCCTATATAGTAGACAAAGCCGAGACATCAGGATTCTCGTCTCCGCCACCGGTTGCCGGAGCGACTGAGGAGAGACAAATCCACGGGCTCGTCGGTGGAGATCGAGGGGAGCAAAGCTTTCCCCTTAGTCGCATTGCGAGGGAGGAAAGAAAAAGCACAATACGAAGGCCACTATTTGTAATTTGGGTCTGCCTTCTGCCCCTTGCTACGAGCTTGGGAAGATTGCACCACGATTCTTGTCAAAAGCACAAGAGACGTTGATATGTTTATGCATGCACCATGTCTAGTGCATTCCTTTGCCGAAAAATGTGTCATGCATTCACATATGTTTACATTGTTTCCCTCACCCTTCTGTTCGGTCAATAATAAACAACGAAAAAAGTGGGATGGCTTATGGTAGTAGTATATGTCTAGTGTTACAACATACTTTAACTTTTACTCTGAAAGAAGAGCATCTTTTTTTAACTTTAAAATTCACAAACTGAAAAAGTAAATTTGGTATCAAACAGGTAAAGCCTTGCAGTTGCATCATCTGGAGGAGTAGTACAAGACATGAAACGTGGTGGACATTACTTTTTTTTATAAAGAGAGTTTGCTCTCCGATTTCCATGATTAGAAATCACCAAGTATTACGAACTTCATACAAATTTTACAAAGCCATTGCTGACACAACCCAAATCAGCA